TGATTACATCAAGCAAGCAAGTGATGGYTTCCCAGAACGCACATGYGCAACAGTCATGTCAGGAGGCATCAATATGGCAGAGGCATTAGTCAGTAAAGGCTTTGCAACAGTGYTACGTCACAGACAAGATGATGATCAGAGATCCTCTCACTATGATGAACTGCTAGCAGCAGAAACAAGAGCCATTAAGAACAGTAAAGGTTTACATAACAAAAAAGAACCCCCTATTCACAGAGTGGCTGATTTGTCTGGGGTAGGTTGTTATGAAAAGTTTGTGAAAATTGAGTGAGTGTAAAACCAAAGTATGGTACTGTCATGGCTTACGTTGCTGAACTGTCACTATTCTCTTTATTCRATGTTTTCTTTGGTGTCCATATCAAGCAAGGTTCGTTGACTATGCAATGTGGTTGTCAATGACATGACCTTTCCCTTTGCATAGTCATAGAAATCTTGCTCTAATAGGTTTTGACAAATATTTCATAATACTCATCTCACAAGGTCATGGGCTGAAATATACTCTACATTTTACAGTCAACTGTTAGTTTTTACTTAGCTCTTCGCCCCCCTGGATACAAGTGTTGTAGCTTGACTGACCAATGCAGGCAAAAAGCTATGTATTTAATAACAGATTGTGTATCTTGAATTTTGTAGGACTCTGCAAAATCCAGGCAGTTTCTCCCATTTCTACAAAGAGCTGGACGATCACGGGCAATTGTAGAGGTAACTAATAACTTGTTATTACTTATTGATTATTCTAAATATTTTAGATATTTTTAGTTTTGTTGTATTATTTACACATAAAAATTATGTTTTCCTTAGTTTGTTGCCAGTGGTTCAAGACTAAGAATTTACCTACCAAAAGAGACATGTTTGGCAACATTTTTACTTGCAGGTAAGAGAATATTTCCACTTTCAGCTTAGTATAAGAGTGGTGACTCTAACCAATTTTTGGTACCAATATTTTGGTATGAAACCTTTTGGTACAAACTTCCCAATACACTATCTCAAATAAATTAAATACCATGTATGTTRTAGGAATTAGTTGTCCAAGAGCTGCACGAATCAACACAGGACAAGGTGTTATCAATAACATGGAAGGTGAACCTTTTGGTAATGAAGCACTTCAGTTCACAAAGGACCTTGTCCTCCAGCAAGAAGTTGAAGTTGAAGTAGAAAGCATGGACAAAGCTGGTAATTTCATAGGATGGATGTTTGTAGATGGCAAGAATCTTTCAGTAGCTTTAGTTGAGGTAAGAAAGTTGCATTTCTGAAGTCTCCTTTATCWGCAACCCAAATGGATTACCTTTGTCATGAGGATTGTGGAGGAATGGGACATAAATGTTGTATTGCCACAGGGAGCCTGAAGTCAAGAGTAGCAAACTAAGGAGGCTKTTAATTGGACTTAATGTGATGATTACATTGCATGACTTAAACCTGTTAAACATTATTAAACATTGTTGTTGGTCGTTTCCAGGCTGGATTATCATCAATACATTTCACAGCAGAAAAGTCGAATTTCTATCATGCATTACAGTATGCAGAAGAGAATGCCAAGCAACAGAAACTCAAGGTAAAACAGCACTCAGGTTGCTTTGCACTGAGATATTCTTCTTTATTTTTGTGGTTACTTCCATCTTTACGACAGAAGATGACTATGCTATTGCTCTTGTAGTCTGTGAGCAAGTGAGTAATGTTCTGTGTCTTGTTGTAGATGTGGGCAAATTATGAGGAACCTAAAGCAGTTGTTGCTGTTGTAGAAGAATCAGAACGAAAGTGTAATTATAAGAAGGTAATTGTTTGATATTCTTGAATCAGAATTAGAAAAGTCATAAAAAATTCAATCTCTTATAAGTTTCTGATGTGACTCATTTATTCATTTTTCATTCACTTATTTATTCATTCACTCTAATCTCCTATGAATCGAATTATCTATTCCTTTCTTATTCCGCCTATTTGTTCATACTTTCTTCATCTATCCATTTTATTACAAATTTGTCCTTTCATTGAAGAAGATCAAAACAGATGTCTTGACTGATTTCAGGTCGTTATTACTGAAGTAAAGGAAAATTTAGCGTTCTATGCTCAACATGCTGAAACAGGTCCACAGCTTGAGCAACTCATGACAGACCTTCACACAGAACTAAGTAGTAATCCCCCTCTTCCTGGGTCATACACACCGAGAAAAGGAGATCTCTGTGCCGCACAGTTTGTTGATGGTAGTTGGTATCGAGCAAAAATCGAAGCTATCAAAGGAAAGCAAGTCAGTGTATTTTATGTGGATTATGGAAACGTAAGTTTGAAAAGTCGTCGTTTTGTTAAAATTATGTGTTTTGAGACGTCGGTTATTTCAGGTTAAACCAGTTCTTAAACTGAAATAACCGAAGTTATTTCAGGTAAAACCGGTTACTACTTGATTAAAACCGGATTTTGTCTTTACAGAGAGAAGTTGTACCATTTGGTAAGCTATGTCTGCTTCCACCAAGATTTCACAGGTTAGTAACAACCAGCAGTATTTCAATATCCGACATTGTACTGATTTCAGTGTTATTTCAGTTTTCAACCACAAGCTAAAGAGTATTTCATGGCATTCATTCAACTTCCTAAAGATGTAAGTAACCATAGAACTGATGTCATCAGGAGAACTTGTTTGACCAGCTTAGAACAAGTTTGATCATAGAATTGGTTGGGCAAATAGAACTTGATTGGCCAGTAGATTTTGTTCTCGAGGAAGGTGTTTGAAAAGTGGAACTAGTTCAGTTGCTCAACTTGTTTGATCAGAAGAACTGGTAAAACAAGGATCTAACTGCGCAAATGACACAGTTGTTTTTTCTTTTCCTCTCTATTCTTATTCTTTTAATCTTTCTTTCATACAGCCTGATCAAGCTACTGACGGAAGTGATGAATTCCAGAAGAGAGTAATTGTAAGTATCATTTAGTTTTTCATCTACCTCTCTTTTACTCTCTATTTAGTATTTTTTTTCCTTTTTCTTCACAGAATCAGCAGTTTCTGTTGAACGTTGAGTACAAGAATCAAGGCATGGTAAGTCATAGCAGCGTTGTGTGTGAACGTATCGTGACACTTTCAAAATGCGTAACGTATTCCATTTTTTATTAGGAACACGTGACATTGATGCTCGACACTGTAGACGTAGGAAAAGCATTGGTACAGGAAGGCCTTGTACTTTGTGAAAAACGTCGAGAAAAAAGGCTACTGAAAATCATGGAAGAATATCAGAAGAGCCAAGACGCAGCACGCAAAGCGAGAGTAAGTTGACTGTGATGCATGTCGGGATCTCTCACGTGACATGTAACACGTRGYAGAGTGGTTACCAATGATGTTACTGCGATTTTGCCCAATGTCGGTCAGGTCGCTCCTCCGCTCCTGGTCTTATATTGTGCTTCTCTCTTGTGGTGTTGCAAAGCATGATGGGACCTTCCCATGACTATAAGCAAGACAACTGGGAACGAGTTAGGTTTAAAATCATCAGAAATACTCCGATTTCGAGTTCTGGTTTGCTCTTTGTTAGCCTCAAAACCTCAAAAGTGACATATACTTTTGTTTTATTGATAGCCCGAGAAAACGCATGGAATTTGAAAAGAAAGACAATAGAACTGATTTGAAATCTCACACTTTTATTCTCACAATTAGGAATATTTTGCGCGCAAATGAGACTAACACACAGAGCATTGGAGAATTYGAAACTGGATTATTGCAGAGAAATSTTCTTTAATGCCGCATATGCAATATCAATGCCGCAAAATAAATTCTTAGAGTTAGCTGTAACCTGACGAGTCCCCAGTCGTCTTTCTCGCATGAAGGTAAAGAAGGGTCTTTCTTCCTTCCCATAATGCTTTGTAAAATGAGAGAGAAAAGATWAACGGGAACTGAAARACTGGTGTATTGATATTCATTTCTTTTCACTTTCAGTTAAACTTGTGGCGCTACGGAGACTTTACTGAAGACGACGCACGTGAATTCGGCTATCCAACCAACTAATCAAAACCCACAACAACRACAACAAATACCTACAAAAAAACTACCAAAACATACAAAAAAATACTTGTAGGTATAATATATATATAAATCTACTTCTCATCGAGAACATAGTAATTTAACAGCAAATATACAAAATGTCTGCTATTTTGATTAGTGACGGAGAAATTTACGTCCAACTAGATACTGTACGTGAAAAAAATWATAGAAAATGACGTAATCAAATCATGGTCAAACCAGTCATTTCCCAGAGGGGGCTAGGTTGTAATTCAACATAGTATACCCAMACAGATAATAATTTTACTACTTATTTTTTAATAACTCTAATGATAACGAAGGTGGATTTTGAAGAGAAGTTGCTTGTGAAATAAAAAACTGCATATATCATAATGCAAATATGGCTGTCTAGGGACATCTTTACTTTGGGACAAAGGTTGTTGAAGGTCCCATTTAATAACAGTAAACCGCAGATCACCGGCAACGCAGGCTACCCAGAATCATAAATAAGTAAAAACAAACCACACCGTTAAATAATCTTTGATTTTAATATACAATTCTCTAGTTATTAATCATTGGCTTGATCATATAATTCACATTAAAATCATATACACATTTATATAAAAATACGAAACGTTGACATCGTTATAACTATTTTAAAGCTCTGAGCTTTTCACAGAAAACTCAAATCCTGGCTTGAATTTTGCCACGATTTAACGGCATAACAAAATACTCAATGGTTAATATTCAGCTTCAGACACAAAAGAAAATAATTGAATAAGCGACTACCAAGGTTTGTTAGGGTCATTCATTAACCCGTGAAACAATAGTAGKAGGTTTTCATTTCACGCTTTTCCGAACATTAAAAAGGCTATTACATCCCTGGTTTTATCGGCTTCCGTACGGGAGTTTAAAAGGCTGAATAGTAAAATAAACGATGCATAATTTAAAGCTTTAAACATGAAAAACAATTTGGTTCGAGTATGTACAATAACTATAAAAAAACTCATCCGCAAGCAACCCTTTTGGGGTTCCTCTGGTGTCCTTTCAAACGTCTTCGGATGAGGCTAAAACAAAGCGATCTATCTTAATATGCATGATATCACAGAATTGAAGACAAAAAGTCCAAAATTGTCTAAATTTTGTTCGTCATACTGTCTTTTTGTTTTAAGGTTCATCAAATATCGTTTCAGAACGAGAACACTGACGCAGTGTCMTCTTATGTTTAACAGGGAGTATGTGTATCACAAGATGACGTCAAACGCATGACGTCATATCAGTTAGTCTCATCTGTACAAAATCGCTTAGTTTTCAAATAACAGAAACTTGTGAATGCTTGAGGGTCGGTGTTAACTGGGAATCCATCTTGAGAATCCATTATAGTTCAGTTATACCAACAAATGTACATGTATTTGATAAATCACTATAAATCACTACTCCTTGTAATGCAGGTAAAACCTCCAAGGAAATCCAGATTTCCAGGACAAAGTTCCAGGCATTTCTCAAGCTATATTGTTCAGTTAATCCATGTAAACTGWCTTTAGACGTCTTTCACTGCATRTKTCTTGTACTYTGGTAGCAAGCGTTACCAATTTGACAAGTTACTTGYGGCAAAGCTAGGTAAATATTCCAAGAATATCCACATTTCAAGGATAAAGTTTCAGTGGTTTGTTACAAGCTATAGTTCAGTTATTTCATATAAACTAGCTTTAGATGTCTCCCAATGCACATTCTGGTAGCTGGCTTGACTGATTTGACTGGAAGTACTGTTAACGCTTGTTCTGCTGTCAGCTCTCACTCTGTGCAACGACGAGCTACTTCTGCGTCGTTCCTACAAAAACAGTTATTTAGTTTTACAATAATTTGAACTCTGAATGGTTTCTTTATCTTAACGAGAAGGGCTTCTCGTTCAAGGCGGGGGTTGATGTGAGAACCATATCGATTTCTGGTGAAATATTTGTTTCCCTTTAATCGTCTGTAATGGGTCACGTGACAAACAAGTGTTTATGCGAATATAGTTTTGAAAATCTTCAATTCAACACATGTTGAAATCCTCCATGCAATAGTAAGCGTTATACTAAACAAAGGTTTGAGATAACACTGCTTGCTGTATTAATCTTTAAGTCAATCTTCACGTAAAGCAATCCAGCCCTTCAACTTTTGATCTGAGAATGAGTTATATCACTTGGACTATTAAATAGCGTGCACATTAAGCCTGGCAGCAGAAGCAGAATTAAAGAAAGGAACACAGTTTAACATCTTAAAGACATTATGTATAACCAATTACTTAAAATATTTGATCAAACATTCGAGAACATCTGATCAAATATTTGTGTTTATTTATAATTAATGTGCAAAACAATAATGAATGGTGCACGGAAACTTAAAGATTACCCTTATATGGAAGAGAGTGCATACATAGAACACGAGTGACACAAGACACGAAGAAGGTGCGACAACTTTACGAGCACTTTACGAGAACATCACGATAACAGTGCGAACCAGCTAATCATTCAAAACAAAGTATGATATCCATGATCGTTCTACGATATTTGCAATAATTATCTTATTTAATCAGCTAATATATATAGATTATACATTACAGCATATGTAAGTGAACCAATTATCTGTGGAGACTGCGTCCCGGTCCCATTTCTATTGTCCACTTTTTACCAGGGCACCTTAGTGTCGATTTCTTTCATCAAAGATCAATAGTAATCATAAAAAGCATTACATCATAACCAAGACATCTCCAATAGATGCAGGTTATGTGAAACTAATAAAAATAAAATATCTAGTAAAAACCTTGAAAATATAAACTCTATATTTACCAAAAAAATCTTATTCTAATCAGCGATTTTGTATTGCAATTTTATCTTATTTTCTCTAAAAGCAGTTCAATGACTTATGCCTTAAGTTCATTTACAGTCAAAAACTCCACGAGTTCCAACTGGTTATAATACACATCACGTGACTTCCATATATGGTAATTTTTAAGTTCCGTGTTCAGACGAAAGTATAAGACACCTGGTACGAGGAATCCATTTCATTTCTAGTCCTCCACACGGGCGATTTATCAGGCCTGGCTCCACCGTTCAACGCATCAATGTCGCCGTTAATTGGTCGAAACGTTGACATTTGTTTTTCAGCGGGTTTTCGTGACGTCAGGTGATGACTTATGACGTCATCYCGGCGAACGAGAACGCTCTCTGAGTGGTAGGACAATTTCGAGGGAATAGAATTAAAGCCAGGCTCTTCTAGCTCTGTTCCGTCACTCTTTCTATGCTCTTGGTATTGTGGTCTTCGTCTATTTCTATTGTCCATTGACCGAGGATCGAGGTCGACACTCGACACTCGTCCCCTGTCGGTATCGACTACATTCGATCTCGAACCAGGGTTAAGTGAATCGTGTATTGTTGACATCGACATCATAGACTCACTTTCGCTATAACTTGGACTGTCGGGTCGAGTTGGAAGACCTTTTATCGGTGAGATCCTCACAGGAGATTCAGGCGAAGGTGGTCTTTCTACTGGAACTGTAATTATCTTTTCTCTTTCTTTGTTTTTCCTGGCGCGGTAAGAAGCTGTTTGATATGAGCCTCGTTTGAGTGACGCACCAGGGGGTAGTTGGGGAAGTTCTTCTTTCTTAGGGGGTGGGGGTACGTCGAGTCCAATTTTCTTGAGTTCAAACATTGATGACTGTAAAAGCTCAACGACCTCGTCGTCATCATAAGGATACATGTGCATGCTTTCTTGTAAGAACTGCACAACTTCTTCAAGACTCATTTTGGCAAATATTTCTACAGTAAAGAAAATAATATGTCACCACATGCGTAAAACGTACGCTTTTAATGGCTTAATTCTAATTTACGGATATACCGCGTGTTGACTCTGTGATAACTASAGAATTGATTGTGATAGTGAATATGAATATGATAACGATAGCGATACTACAGTATTGCCTACATTGAGGCAAACACAGTATAATAAGCCTTAAATCATAGTTAATATTAACTATGCTTATATATATATATATTCAATTCAGCCTCTATTTAACAGCCAGCCTCAGTTAAACGATCGGTTAAGAAATTCCCATGGATGACCACTTAATAGAGCTACCACTGTAGTACTTTGATGTCAATGGTACTTCAACGATTTCAGTTATGATAGACACTAATTGATACATGTATATTTAAACTATGATAGTGATGATAAAATATCAGCACTTACTTTTATGCATCTTCATAATATTGTATGCCATTGCAGTTAAGACTCTATCTCCCTCCAATAGGAATATATCATATATTCTTAGCGTCAACGAGAAAGGAAGCTAAAGAAAATAATGTACAGAATTAACTAAAAACAAAAGTAAATTTACATGAAAAAACAACAAATAATATAAAGCTTACTCTGTCTAAAAAGCACTGCATGAACCATTTCAATGTATAGAGACTACTGTGACAGCCTTCTTTTTCCTGAMGAAAAACAAGAACATAGTRATGAGCAACGCAACCCAAATAGCCTTCCTTTGTCATGAGAACTGGAGATGAAAATCTTYGGAAATTGTCCTTTAGTAGCATAATTGTAGAGAATTAGWGGAGTAATCGAGTGAGGCCTTGCTACTGTATGGAGATGAAAATTTTCCCACAGGAATCTCAAATCCAAGAATTGCCTTGTAAAACATGATGATAACATTGAAAAAATGCATTCTTTATATTYGCTAGACAGAGAATTTTAACACTAACTTGCACAATTTTGTAAGAAATATTTCACAGATACAGTGAAAGCATTCTAGTTGCCAGTCTTTTTATCACTCTAGTTCTCAGTCTTCAGAAAATAAGCATGATAATCAATAATAGCTCACCAGATGTTTGAATAGTCTTGGAGACAACTTTTTTAGTATTCTGTCATGGTGTTCCTGGAATCTTAACAACTTTGGAAATCCAGGAATGAAGAACCCTAAACAGAGAAAGACAATTCTAATCAACACAAAACAGCTGTAACCTAGACAATTTCCCAACAAATTCAGTTAAATTCCCACTTGTTGGCATTCTTGTAAGCTCTCTAAAAACCCTCAGCTGTTTTTATCCAAAAACAAAAGATTGTACTAATTACTCTCCCCTGGCCAAAAGTATCGTACTGCAAATGGATCTCATTCTTACCATGCATGCTGTGTTTCCGTCCAGTAAGTAGTGTTGAGAGGGCCCAAAAAGCATCCTAAAAAAGGTATTACATTCTGTAATAAGTACAAGATGGCTTTGAAACCACATTATAGTTAAGACTTACCTCTTCATTGAGATACATAAGCAACAAAGCTGCAATTCCACTCATTCCTTGACAATAACCAACCTCCTAATAGTAACAACAAGAAACATTTATAAATAAAGCTACATAGTAAGGT